TTCTGCTTTATAACAAAGTGAATCAGCTATACATATACATATATCCCCATATCTCCTCCCTCTTGCATCTCCCTCCCTCCCACCCTCCCACCCTCCCTATCCCACCCCTGTAGGTGGTCTCAAAGCACCAAGCTGATCTCCCTGTGCTATGCGGCTGCTTCCCACTAGCTATCTATTTTACATTTGGTAGTGTATATATGTCCATGCCACTCTCTCACTTTGTCCCAGCTTACCCTTCCCCCCTCCCCGTGTCCTCAAGTCCATTCTCTAGTAGGTCTGCATCTTTATTCCCATCTTGTCCCTAGGTTCTTCATGACCTTTTTTTTTTTTTTTTTTAGATTCCATATATATGTGTTAGCATATGGTATTTGTTTTTCTCTTTCTGACTTACTTCACTCTGTATGACAGACTGTAGGTCCATCCACCTCACTACAAACAACTCAGTTTCGTTTCTTAGATGAGCTTTGATGTGCAGAAAGGAGCTCAGTGCCACTGGAGTACAGTAGGGAAGTGGAGGATGGGTAGATGAGGTCAGGGAGGCAGGTGGAGGTCAAGTGACCTTGGGCCTCGTGTGCCATGGGAGCAGTTGGGATTTTATCCCACCCATCGTTGGAAGCCTTTGGGGAGCTTTAAGTCTAGTCCCCAGGTCTCCCAAGGACCAAACTCTGCTTTACACGTATGCATTTTTCTTCTTGGACCTAGAATCCTGGCCAGGCACTCCAGTAGTATTCCTGGCAGACAGAATCTGCTAAAAAGCAACAGTGCAGATGCCTGTTCCCTGAATCCCACCCCCTACCTATTGGGGACCCTCATTACTTTATCTGGGACCCTCCTCCACAACCCAAACTAAGACTTGTGCTTGCCCCATAGTTTCTGCAGCCAGACTGGACCCCCTCAGCATCTGTACCAGAGCTATTTTCCCAGATTGCTCATCCCGGTAGGTGGCTCCAGGACCAGGCCTCATTCCACCAAGTGCCCGGATCTCCATGTGAAACAGCTCAAGGGGCCACAACACAACCCAGCAGGGAAGACAGCCCCCCTTGCCGGCCTCTGCCACCTGACTCACCTTCGCCCAGAGTCTGCTTGAGTAAGTCATGCTTGGCCTGTAGCTTAGTGATGAGGTTACTGCCGTTCACATATTCTTTAAATTTCTGTAAGACACAAGGCACAGGACATTACAGATCGCAGGGCCAAGTCCTGCCATTTCTGCTTCCATAGTGGACCTCCAGGGCAGGAGGCCACCCTCAAGGCCCCAGGCACGGGGAAAGGGGTTTCTGCGTCGGCTCCATCAGATCCCCAGCTCTAACGAGTGTGGCTGTCCAGTCCTATAAGGCATTTCAGGTCAGTTTGGGAACACAGAGAAAGCTCGGGGGATGGGCACAGTGAAAGGTGCTTCTGTCAGGTGAGGACTGCAGGAGGCTGGGCAGTGGGCTTCTTTAGCCATCAAAGTTTCTCCATGCTTCTGGGCCAAGAGCATGCAGCCGAGACAAGAGAGCGTTATCAGATCTGTCAGAGGGGAGCCTCAGAACATGTCTTCTTTTATCTGGCTGCACTCTGAAGGAGGAAGGGCATTGCAGGCCCCTAGAGACGTTCCTATTAAAATAACCCGAACTGCATTTGGGGATATGATTTTCTTCTTTTTCCAGATGAGAAAGGTGAGGCTGGCACAAGAAATGATTTGCCCTAGGACCCCAGGCTGCCTCTAGTTCTGCGGCCTGGCCAAGCACAATGCACTTGGAAGCAGTGCCAGGAACGGGGCACCCGGAACAGAAACACATCTACCTGCCCCCAGTTCAGCCTGGCCTCAGCCATGCCTCTACACAACTACCAGCTTCCCTCGGCCCTGCCCACCCCACGTCGCCCAGTCACAGGCCGGGAGCCCTCTCTGCTGGACCATGAGCCACTGTAGGCACCGTCCATGCAGGTTCCTTTCTGGATCCTCGGTGCCTACAGCTGTGCCAGGCATATAGTAGGTGCTGAGAAGTTCAGCTGAAATCTCTTACCTGGCAGGACTGACATAGCAGAGTAGGAGAGAGACAATAAACTACCAAAAACGTAAATAAAATACACAATTGGTCAATGGTGGTGAACGCTAGGGATGGAAACAAGGCAGGAATGAGGAACTGGGAGCGAGGGCAGACCTCACTGCAAAGTTGCCATCTCAGCCCCGGCCTGAAGGAGGTGAGGAAGACAGCCGTGTGGGTGCACAAGGGAGGGAAGGGTCTAAGCAGAGGGGAACGCAATTACAAAGGCCCTGAGAATGAAGGCACAGGGACAGATGTGATTGCCCCAAACCTGCCAGCTAGTTTCTCACCAAAAAACCCATTCTATTCCCCAGCCAGAAAGCTCAGAAAGGGCGCAGAGGAGCAAAGAAGTGCGCCTCGGCAGCTCAGGACATCTGGAACGTCACCATCTTCCCGCTGAAGACAGATGTGGGGAAAGGCCCACGGGGAGGGGGCTGACATGTGCCCGGATAAGACTGAGGTCACCGCACCCTGGCCCCACCCTGCTGGGTTTCTGGGGCTTGGGGCGTCCTGTCTCCTTGGCCGTGGTCCTTCTTAGCTCCTAGGGCCTTGTCCCGTGGTTGCTAAGAGTCACTCCCCCTTGTATCTGTAGATGGTTTTCAAACATGTACATCTGGTCCTCACTGCAGTCTCAGATGACAAATGGTGGAAGCATCACCATTCCCATTCTACCCAGAAGGAGAAAGAGCTCAGAGCTGCGGTCACTCAGTGTGCGATCTTGGCCGGATTTCTGAACATTTCTGGGCCTCATGCCCTCCTCAAGGTAAAATGAGTAGACTCATGGTGCTTCTCCAAGTGTGGTGCAGGGACCAGTGGCCTCCTACCCAGCTGGGGAGAGTGTCCACACGCAGATTCCTGCACTGGAAGACTGTGAGTCGAACCCGAGGAGGACACCACAGAGGCCCAGAAGTGCTCACATTTCCAGGGTGCCACCTCAGGGAGGGCGGTAGTCTGGGAACCTACGTTTTCAACAAGCTTCCTACACAATTCAAAAGCACACTTCGGTTTGATAACTACCCACCTATAGGCTCTCTCTGGATGCTTCCAGGAATATAGCCCTCTGATTTTATCGCCCTGTGTTTAAGAATTCACCATAAAAAGCAGAGGTGCGGTATAAGTAGGTATTCTCTCCATCCTGCCTCACTGTCCCAAGCCAGGTGAAGCTCCAATCCCAAACTTGTAACTCATGCTTTGGTGGGTTAGTGCAAATTACACCTGATTAGTGCAAATTACACACTGGGGCTCTGGGGCTTGGGGATCCTGGCTACTTCTTCCAAGCTTCACCCAGGCTTCACGTGTGACCCATGAAGGAAAGAATGCCATTGAATCGTATTAATGTTTGCTTTAAAAGGAGTGTTATGTCCTTAAAATACCTAAATAATGTCACAACATCACATCATGAGGTGTACTAGCCAACCAGATTCATAACTTGAATATTCAGATCAAAATATAACATCCATGACCCCCATCATGGATGCTGTCTTTTAATTTCAAGCAGGCTGAACCCCCTTCTTTGCTCCTGCTGCCTAAGTGACAATATGCATCCACACTCCTCCTCACTTATCTTTGTAACCCATAAATTCTCGACAAACACAGTAGGCCCCTCGTGGAAGTGGTGAGCCCCCGAAACTGGCATGGGCTGATTCACATAGTATTCACATAGTATGTGCTAAATAAATACTTGAATGAGTAAATGAGTGAATCGGTTCTTTCTTGAAAACAACAAAGTCAAAGAGTGTTGACGAAGGAAATGCAGTAGGCGTCAACCGTTGGTTTTTGACAGGGATTTGACGAGGCCTAGCATGAAATGGAGCTGGACGTTAGAATTGGGTGGGTTTGTGACTGGTTAAATGACCACAATCTAAAACTGCTGATTAATGGATCAATATTAGTCTAGTGGCATGTTTTGAATAACCCTGTCTTTGGCCTAGGCCCTGAAGTACCAATTAGTTTTTTTTTTTTTTATTGACAAACTTTAAGGTACAGAAGCCACGCTTACTGAATCTGCAGACACAAGGTCTGAAGAGACAGCATATGTGATGAGCAGCCGATCAGGATCCTGACAGTCTGGAACCATGAGCTGAACCGATCAAGAGGATATCTATCTAAGCGGTGATAAACATCAGACCCACCCAAGACATCACCTACACATCCTATAGGAGGAGGGTGGCCTAGTTTAATGGCAGTACAGTAGGAACAGAGATTTAACTGATACTAGCTTAAAAAAAAAAAAAGAATATGATCTTAGGACATATGGAAAGAGAAGCATAGCCCCTAATGTGGAGGGAGGTGAAAGTTTAGCCCTGCTCTGTGCTGGTCACTCTGCTGAACACGTTCTGGAGAGTGTCGCTAGGATGCTGAGGGCACTCAAAACAAAAGCTTAAGAGGCTGGACTGAAAGAAGTAGATATGTTTAGCCTGGAGAAATAAAAACCCAGCTCCCTGCAACCTTGCCAGACTGTCAAGTGGAATTAGCCTCTCTCTGGGTTGCCCCAGAGAACAGAATTAAGATCAATGACCAGAAATCCTAGTGAGGAAGATTTCTAAAGATAACACAGATACGGAAAACATCATAGTATCTATAGCCAGCCACAAGACAAACAAAAGGGTTGTTTGGGGAAGGAGGGAGCTTTTTAATCTGGGGTTGTTCAAGCAGAATCTGAATGACTTTTGGGCAGGGATAAGGTTGAACAGGGTCAAACATCAGATGGAAGATGTAAGGTCCCTTCTAACCCCATTCCATGTTCACTAAACACATGTTGAAATAAAGCCCCGATGCCTCTCATCCCTGTTCCTCCTTGGCCAAGTGAAATGTAAGTAATCTGGGATTTTACATGAAGGGCTGGCAACTCACCAGCAATTTGCAAAGATCACTCGGGGTGTTGTTTGCAGAGTCCATGCCCAAATTTGACACAACTTGACATGACAACCATACACTAAACTTGGGGGTTGTTACTTGGGGCGTGCACCTGGCTCTGTTAGCCCTTTTTCCTCTCACCCTACTGAACACAATTCTCTCTGTATTTTTTCTAGAAAAGGAAAATCACAATAACTGTCGATCCAAGATCAAGGCTGGTGCTACCCACTGGTACCTCACTTTCTGCATTTCACAAAGCCACACCAGGCAATTTAACCTGAAAAGCATGCTGGAAGACCTGTAGGTCTAACTGACCCAGGTGGTTCCTCTGGCTCCCAGTAGTCTGGGCTGCTCCCCAAAATCACTGCTGGTGGGGGGCCAGACAGAGGGTCCTGGGCCAGGACGCCACTTACTGTAAAATAAAACATTTCTGTCTCCTGCTGGTTGGCTCTCCTCTTGGCGATGTTGAGCTTGCTCATGTAGGTCTCGGAGGCGGCTGACTTCACAGACTCCGTGGACCGGCTGTGTTGGAAGGCGTCGGAGACGTCAAAGTCCTCCACAGTCAGCATGTCCTGCAAGGTCTGCATGGTGGCGTCCAGGGTTTTTCTAACCTGGGGAAACACAAAAATCCTTCAGGTTGACAAAAATCCTTCAGCCTCAGAATGCCTTTGACACCTCAAAGCCCTTTCCCAACCGTTCCTTGATTTCTTCCACATAAAGCATCAGGAGGCAGGCAGGACAAAGACGCTCATTCCCGTTACAGTGATGTGGAAAGTAAGGCCAGCAGCTGGCTGGGGGGAGAAGCCAGGTGGCCTAATCTAAAGTCATGTCATGGGACTGCTTCTGCTGGAGACATCGGAGAAGGTTGTGACCAACAAGGAACTTGGGTTTTGAGGTTTATGTTTCTTTATAGTTATACAACCCCAAACCAGCTCCTCCTGGGAGGCAGGTCCCTGAGGAGGAGCAACGCTAGAAACGCTCTCCGTTTCCTTCATCCAGAGAAGGGAGGGGACACAGTCTGGATAAGGGCAGTGCTGTCCTCAGTGAGTGAACTCCTCTGCTGTCGGCCACTGGGTCCACGCAAGCCTGACTGAGAAAAAACAGCCTCGAGGAAGATAGACCCAAGACACACGCAGTGTGCTCGGTCCTCCGGGACTCTGACTCCTCTCCCGGGACCAAGTGGGACCCTGGAGGCTCTACACGCAGGGCCCCGGCCTCCCCACAGCCCTTCACTGAACTGTGCCTAAAGGGTGTACTGGAACTTGGATGGAGGGTCGCTCCAAACACAGACCTGGGAGAACTGCGTCCACATTCGCTCCACAGTGATTGCTGCTCAAAGCCTCTCTTGTCACTCAGATCTCAACTTAAAAGTCGCCTCCTGGTGACATCAGGCCTCCCCACCCAACCCA